TTTTGGTTGTAGAATGCTCCGGTTGTGAAGCCTTTATTTTTGTCATGACTTCGCTGCATCCCACCGCAAGTATTGGCCGCGTTTCATACATTTGACAACCTTGAGTTTGTAGCTACATGTAAGGGCGACCTTGCGATGATAGTGTGTCTACAAGACTCAAAGATTTCGGCGTGACAAATTGCATCTAATCTCTGTTGTGACTTTGCAAGTCACCATTTTTCTTGTTGTTACGTAATAAGGTCTGAAGCGACACATTCTGCTACTGTCAATCCGGCGCACGCAACACCACTTCCAACGACGAGGCATTTGGTGTTTCGGTAACGCTATCAACAAATACTTTGGACCTGAGGTCGCTTCGGTGTCAACACAACAACTTGCAGCTCGGTTTAACGGCGCGCGGTAGCAAGTTTCAGATCGCGATTTTTGGTTGGTCTTCATCCCTAATTCTCACTTTGTTTCGTCTTTTTTTGATTTGGGTTACTGCTGTTGCAGTTTGAATCTTTGCTGACTGAGATTTTTTTTACTTGATTTTTTTTTCCATTTCGGTTTCGACGGTCAATTTTATACCTGCGCATTGGGTTAACACGGGATATGGTGTTGTGGATTTCTGGTTCATCATAATAATAATTTTATCATGCTTTAGAGTTTAACTTAAAGTCTGAAGTTGATGATAGTTTGTGTTTTACAAATATGGTTATGAGTTTAGCTGGTGATGTTGTCTGAATGATACTCTCTTTGCTGTGTAATTTTATAATGATATTGCTAAAAACTGGTATAAGTGGAACTGTATTTGATTTTGATAAAAGTTTGGAAAGAGGAATTGATATACTACTGGGTATTGTTTATCAGTGTTTTCGGTAGATAACATTTCATGGTTATGCTTCAGATATGTGGTGTGGATTTATTACCGTTTCAAGACGTGTTACTGCCAGCATTGGTTATTGTTTTGTTTCATTATCTTGCTGAAAAAGTATAAGAACAGGTGCTGTTATCAAGTTTGTTTTTTTTTATATGCCATTGCTGTTGTTAGATGGGTATGGTTGGATTATTTGCTGGAGTTATGTTGTGGATAATTCACATTTGATAATTAAACTTGAATAAAGATATGTGTGAATATTTTCTTATGGATGAAGGTGATAGCAGCAGGTTTTATGCGTGTTTATGGGATAAAATCATATGAACATGCTGGGACTTGGGCTATGTGATTGTGGTTCCGATTTAATGGCACTATAATATGGTTTTAGTTTGTTTTGTTTTTCTGGTGTTATCACGATTAGGATCGCATTAGGGTGCAAACTTGTGTTCATCTGTATTTTGTGCTTGGGTTTGTATCTCGTGACTTTACGTTTGCAGGAGAAAGAGGGTATCGTGTACATGAAGAAGGTTTTTTTTGAGTTTAAAGTTTCTTGGTTGTTGCTGATATCATGATATATCGGTGTGGCTTAAGTTTTTGTGGTTCGTGCCGCAAGGGATACCATTAATTTTGTATCGGTTATGTTTGATAGAAGTTTTGTTTGGATTTACACTGTTAATGGTCTGAAATATTTTAGCTCGCTAGGTAAAATCTTCATGCAGGACTGATATTTTGCTACAGGTTTGAGGATTTGCAGCTCTGTTTTTCTTACACTGGTTTGTATGTCCATTGGCAGAGTTTGTTTTGATTTGGAGCTTTTGGATTTTGGTCATCTAAATTGTTATATGTAACTAATGTGTGTCCAACATAATCCAATGTCGATTTATTTTAGTATGTTCAGAAAAATATTCCTAATGTCTATATTTGTTTTTTTTTCTAGAGTAAAACAACTATTTATTATTTTAGTTTTTTTCTTTAGATAATTTTAAAAAAAATCAAATTTTCAAAGTGTTATTAATTAGCTTATTTTTTTTAGAGAACTCAATAATTGTCAAAGAGATTTCTTTCAAAAGAAAATTTTTTATTATTAACTAGTTCATTTTAGAGAATTTAATAAATTTTCAAGAAAATTTTGGGATCATTTCAAAAAAAACTTTTATTGACAAAATGAGAGTAATTCAAAACTTTTTTGTTTAAATTCGCGAAAATTAAGCTCTTGAGGTCTAGCACCTCTTGGGTTTTTGAGTAATTATTATTGGGGCGTACGCCTTGGAATAATATTGTTCATTTTTTTTATGCTTTTAATTATTCGAACAAAAATATATTATAGGGGTCTAGCACCCCGTGCGATACTTTCACTGTTTATTTCGTAAATTAAATCAATGGGTGAAAATTAAACTCTTGAAGTCTAGCACTTCTCGAGTTTTTCGAATGAACATTATTAAGGTGTACACCTTAAAAAAATGTGTATTGTTCATTTTTTATATATAGTTAATTTATTAGGCAATTCAACTTTTATTTTTGTACTAGTAAGTAACATATTTCAAACAATTCAATAAATTACGCTTTAGATTTTTTTCAAATTTATTTTTAAATTTTAATTAATTTATTTTATTTAAATCAATCCATTTTAACTTACAATCTATTTTTCAGCTTATTTCTAAAATATGTTTGATTTTCTTTAAATCCTGTTTCAGTATGTTTTTTAATACCAAATTATTTCTCAATCAAGTCATAAAGATTAAATTCTTGAAGTCTAGCACTTCTTGAATTTTTTAGACAAACATTATTGGGGTGTACACCCTAAATAATATGTCGTTCAGCTATTCGCTTATTACGCTATTTTAGAACAAGAAATATCATAGGGATCTAGCATTCTGTGTGATATTTCTGCTGTTCATCCAAATATTTTTCAAATAAAAATGGTGTTATTGGAATCTAGCATTTCAGTAATACTCTGATTATTTAATTGTGAGGCCGACGTCTCATTTATTAAATAATCGTTATTTTCAAATCCAACCTCGCGTTCTCGCTTCTCACACGTTCACAAATTATTTTCATACCCCGTTTCGCTTCAAGTCATTTTTAAAATATTCTTTCTCGATCAAACTTCGAAAGAAGGAGATTCTTGGAATCTAGCATTCCTCGAATTTTCGAGTGAATAGTTCTCGAGGCACGCCCTTTGAGTTGTTATTCACTCAACCTTTCGACTCTTTCACATTCAATCAGTTTCCAACATTCTCCTAAGTCGAATGCTCGTCCGCATTCGCAACCCACATTTTCATTCACAATTCCTCGTGGTCTCGATATTAGGAGCACCCTCAGGGACTAATATCGTTTCTCACAACTCTAACACTTGACACGTCGTCAAGTCAGTCCCATCTTCAATCCAATCTTCGACACGTCGTCGAACTACTTCAAAACAACTTCCTTTTGGCCTCGCATGCCATTTTGCGATTCAATCCTTTCACAAACATTTTTAAAACTTACGAAAGAGAGATATTCTTAGAATCTAGCATTCTCTGAATATTTGAATGAGTAACTCTCGAGGCGCGCCCTTGAGTTGTTATTAATTTATTCTTTCAATTTCAAAATATCCAGCTCCTTATCTACACTTTATTCGGTCAATTTCCGAAAGAATTGAATTCTTGGAGTCTCGCATTCCTTGGATTCTCGAGTGACAAGCTCTTAAGACGCGCTCTTGGGTTGCTTGTCGGTCACTCTTTCGTCCCTTTTCTAAACTTCAAATCTATTCAACCTCACCTTTTCGTGGTCGTCTCCACGAACTACGGACGCTCTGATTCTCTATTCATTCTTGAATATAAGATACGTAGGCACAAGATTGCGATGATCTTGGCGAGCACACTTCTATCCATCTTCCGTTTTCCCCCATCCTTTCCCGTAGTCGAACTACGACGCTCTGATTTCTCATTCTCGTCCGAATGAGCATACGTAGGCACAAGGGCCCCAATCCTTGGCGAGCACCCTATCTTCTAACCACCCACCTCTCCTTAGCGTCTTTAACCTTTTACCCTACCAATTCTACCTTTAATAGCGAGAAGAAAACAAGTAAACCTAAACAACACTCCCCACATTACCTTAAGAGGTTCCCGTCGAGTACGACAGACGTGAAGGGTGCTAATACCTTCCCCTCACGTAACCGACTCCCGAACCCGGAACTTGGTTGCGACAGCCCTGTTCCTATCCTTTCGTTTAAGAGGTTTTCTCGATATTTTCCTCTCCCGTTTATTCGGGAAAAATAAAGTTCGGTGGCGACTCTGTCGAACCGCATTTCCGCGCCTTTCGCGCGAGGGTCGTTTTCTCTGAAATATCTCCGTGATTTTTCGAGGTGCGACACACCCATACTCCATATTGGCAGCCAATGACCATTCAACGTCACATCCTTATCTAGTCTCTTTCTAGGTATTGGCATGACATTATCTTTCCATTTATCTAGTTTAACTAAGTTTGTAGCAATCCTATTCATTAGATAGTTCCTAATCCACTCACACATTATAAATATTGGCTTATCCCTAGCTTGTAATATAGTGCTATTAAATGACCCACTAAGATTGTTCATTAATACATCACATTTTGGGTAATACCTAAAAGGATGCTTACACCATAGTTTTTTAGGGACTCCCATAAGCCAATCACGTGCCTTCTTGTCCAGTAGCTTTAGCTCACTCATCTTCTTCTCCCATGCTTGGTAATAAATAGCTTTTACAACTCCCATGAGAAAGTCTGTTATTGCAGCTCCACCTCCAAATTTATTCTGGAATTTAGCATAAAGGTGCCTAAGACATACCATGTGTTCAATATGTTCAAACATTTCTTCAAATACATTAACTGGTCCCTACAACAAAAGTAAATCAAACAATACAATAGTTAGATTAAGGTATAATAAATCAAAAGTAAATAAAGAAGTAACAATACAAAAGTACCTTTTGTTGGTCTAATATAAATACATGTCTCCTTTCTACACCAATATCTTAAACAAGTAACTCTAGAAACCATTTCCAAGTATCTTTTGTCTCCGTCTCAACTACACCAAAAGCTAAGGGGTAATACTGATCATTTGAATCTCTTGTTACAATAATCAACAACTTTCAACCATACTTTGTTTTGAGGTGGCACCCATAAACTCCTATGAAAGGTCTGCAACCTTTAATGAAGCCCATTTTGCATCCATCAAAACAGAAATAGAATCTCTCAAATCATGGTGAAAGACATGGAATAGTCCTTTCCATGATGATCTTGGTACTGTTCCCCCACATTGCCTTTTTAACTCTTCAGCATAGCTCCATAACAAAGAATATTGTTTTACAGCATCCCCTTCAACCACTTCATCAACCATTGTCTTAGCTCTCCATGCATTACCTTTGGTGATGCCAACATAATACTTTTGCCTTAGCTCAGACATAATTTCATAGACTTTCACCTTATCCATGGATTTTCTTTTCTCAACAACTAATTTGAAACCCGCATGGAATTGGCTGATCTATTATCTAAAACCCTAGCGCATGTGTGTGTCTACACCCATGTTTTTAATTGGTAGGTGTGCCTGTCACCAACTTTACTACACAATGCTAAAAAAAACCACATTTTCCCCTACGCTCTACCTTAACCCTATAACTTTCATTCTTCACAAACTTTATCTCCCTGCCATTAAGAATAGACCGCTCTCTTATAGCATCTTTAAATTCACTTAACGAGGTAAATTCCATGCCACGTTTGAACTGAAAGTCCTTATTCAACAACTCACTTATGAACTGCTCATACTTGGGGTGCTTTTCATCACCACTGCCATCAAGATCAGAACTATCTAATTCTTCACTTCCATCATCCTTAATGTCTCTTAGTATATTATTGGGTAACCTTTTAGAACTAGACCCAAATATTTTAGCAGACATATATAAATTTATCTTAGAGTGACCACCTTGTTGTCTTGGTTTTTTTATCCCTTACTTTGTACCTAAGAGACTTGCCATTAACATCAACCCGTGTACCACTAGTTGGTTTTTCCACCACAACATTCACACAGCCTTCATTGTTTTCCCTTGTTCTTTCTTCTTCAATATCATCAAACCTAATGCCTCTAACTACATCATCACTACCTTTAGTGAATTGAACAACAGTAGGACATGTAACCTTACTTATAGTATCTTGAACTTCATGCTCAACCCAAATATGGCCATCAAATTTGTTATGAATGTTGTGTTTGGCAATTGCTCTAGCTAGTACATCATCAAAAACATGAATAAACCATTTATCAATACCTGGAAGTTTTGTCCATAACCTAAATTCATCATATCCCCAATCCTTAACCAAACTCACAGCCTCAAAATAACTCCAAGTATCAGAATTTTGACCTTCCACAATCGTATCATTCCCCCTATAAAATGTGAAATTGTCATGTACAAAGTGTCCCACGTGATGGAAGATAATAGTGAATGCGCCCATGTTCTACAATTACAAAAAAAACCTAATGGTTAAACTAGGGTTACTAGTCAATTACAGATGTTACCATGATGAAATTAAAAAAATATTACTTCAATAAAGTTGGTTGGGACCACTACAACATATAAAGTTTGTCAAGTTAAGTAAACAAAAGATAATATTGTACCTTTTTGAAGAACGACAAGAAAGACTGCTCCACTTGCGTTAACTGCTCCACCTGAAGTACAAATCTCAATCTCAATCTCATACTAGGGTAGAATGTAAACAACAATGAAGATGAGTGAGATGGAAGAAGACACAACTTTCCGCGTGTGTATGGATTACTAATTTAGGGATTTAAGGTTAGTAATTATAAGCTTCAGTAAAAACTAAAGTATTTGATACAAAAAAATTAATCTAAACAAAATGTAATTACTGACATGTCTGCATACGTGGTAAATAATAAAATGAAAAAAACAAAATATATTACACATATGCAAAGACACGTCAGACGAGTAGATGAGTTGGTTTAATAAGGGATTAAATCAGAGGAATCTTCAAATGTTGGGGGATCTATTTTTTTTACAGGTTTTTTTTCAAATTTCCCCTAAATGACAGAGGGCAAAATAACTATAAACCCATTAAAAATATTTTTCAAAACATAATTGTAAGTAAAAAAAATAATATTTTATAATATCAAACATGTATTATTTATTTTTATCACTAAAGTATACTTTACTTTGCTTACCTAAAAATGAATTAAATATTAAATAAAAATTCAAATTCATAAAACTAAATTAAGCAATTATAAAATTACTCTTCATTAAAAGATTGACTTAAATGTAGTTTTGGTCTCCCTTTTTTCATTTTTCTAAATTTTTTATCTCCTTTAAAAATATTAGGTTTTCAGTCCCTTGTTATGAATATTTTTGGATATTTTTGATCCCCTGCTCAAATTTGACTATGTGGCATGTTCAGCTATGAGGTGGCAAATAAAATGCTGACCCAAGTTGAAAAAGAAATGTCACGCCATTTAAAAACATTTTAAACTTGATTTATATTAAACAATTTAGAAAATAATTAAAATTAAACAATAATAATTATTCAACTGTGTTTAGTTATAAAATCATTCTCACCCTAATGAAGAACCCTAGAAACGTGTTTCCCCCAAGAACCATAGTCGAGAAACATAACATGTGTCCATTATTTATGAAGAGCCCTAATTCAAGTTTACCCCAACCCAGGAAACAACAACCCTAAACGTTCTTTTTCACCGCGCTTCATCAAGATTCAGGAAGAGCTATGGACAACATTCCTCCGGCAACAGGGAAAAGCAATGAAGAGGTGAAGTTCTATTTTGGAACAAGTAACAGAACCACCAACATCTAGATCTCCTCCTCCCTATGACCTCATACCTACTCCCTCTCCAACACACACTACCTTTGAACACTTTTCTTCTGAAAATGTTCATGAATCTGTTCCTCCTTCTCAACCTCAACCACAAAATAACTCCCCTCAACAGAACCAAGCGCCTTCATCTGATCAACACACCACTTCTAAACCAAACCCTTTTGTACACCAACCATCTGAACAACAATGACCTAAACCACAAAACTCTAAAATAATACCATCTGATCCTGAACCTGAGATTCTTGATCTCCAACCCCTTAAAATAGTGTTTCCTGTTTCATCTGGATCATGTCCATCATCTGAATCATCTGATTCATCTGATGCATCTTTTGGTATATCAGACGCTATCTCACTCACACACAACTCCCTAATCCATTCTTCTGATATTCCTGAAACAATCCAACCAGTTATCCCCTCTGAATCTAAGGTTGTTACTACCTCATCTGTCCGTATTCCATCTTCACCATATCCTCCTGTAATCATTATTCCTACTTTTTCTATACCTTCAACCTCTTCTCCCATTAAAACATCACCTTTAGAAGCCTACCTTAAACCCAAACCTAGGCTAGATGTTGGTGCACTGTTTTCTGGTTTTGAAAAAGAGATGAATATATGGTTGTCTTCTGTTAAGAAGGAGTGCCTCACAAGCAATAACCCTGCTAATTGTAAAGCCATCTGGACAAGATTTAGAACTAGATTCAACTCTGTGGCTTCAAACCTTCAAGATATTTGCTCTGACGATGCGAATGTGAGATTTGCTGAAGCTGTCAGACTCACTCTTCTAAGAGTTAGCAGAACTCCAACTCTACTTCTAGAAAATACACCTCCAAAGGTTGTGTGTTCTTCTTCTGAATAAGCTGCTACACTTCAGATGACTGAGGTTTCTCAGACTGAGAAAGTTATCACAGAGGCTTCCATTCCTGAAGAAGTTTCTGCATCTGCTCAACCTTCTCCTATGGAAATAGAGAATAAATCTGCAATGGTTATTGACAATGCATCTGCTTCTGTGAGTGTTCCAGACTCTTCTAAGTTGAAGACAGAAGAAGTTGTAGATTTGAAGATTAAGGTTTAAAAGCAAGAAGCTGAAAACGCTGAGTTCAAGACATGGATGATCAAACAAGAGAAAACAACAGATGAAATAAAAGACTGGATGGCTAAGCAAGAGGAATCAACATATGAGAACAAGACTTGGATGGCGAAGCAAGAAGAGTCAACCTCTGAGATAACGAATCTTCTGAAGATTTTGGATTCTCGTTCTTCTTCTTAGTTGTTTTGTTATTTGTGCACTTTTGTGTTGTTTTGCTTATCTTGTTTATCTTATGAATTTCTTATCAATGCATTTGTGAATTTTTGGCTTTTCCATCTGATTATATGATATGCTTTATGTTTTTCCTCTATTATCGTTTCATGTCTTCAAAAGTTTTTCTTTTTGATATGACAAAAAGGGGGAGAAAATGGAAATTCTGATTGTTCACATAAACAATTACTAAAATGGAACTCAGACATGTTTAAATTTAACTAACTTTGAATTCAGTATTTCAGAGCTCAAAATTTTCATCAGATAAATTTCATAGAGTAACTCTGAACAAACTCTGAGAGTCTCCAAAGTTTGCTCTGACTCTGGAAAGAATACTTGTGCTGAAAGGGAAGTAATTATTTTTTCTATCAGTATTCAATTCAGGGGGATATTCATAATCTCAGGGGGAGATATATATATATCTTTCTTTGTTTTGAACAAAATTTCCTATTGTTTTTGTCATCATCAAAAAGGGGGAGATTGTTAGAACACGGATTGGTTCTTAATATATCTCTATATTTTGATGATAACATTAATGAAATTTTGTATGAAGTAAATATATACTCTAATCGTATTCAAGTGTTTTTGTTTCAGATATTAAAATTAATATTCCTATGGAAGCAAAAACTCCTCTGAAAGTTAAGAATCAGAAGACTCTGAACGCTGCCTGAAAGAGACTCTGAGCGAAACTGCAGAAGACTCTGAGCGAAAAAGCATATGTAAAGAATCAGAAGACTCTGGAAGTACTTAACGCTGCAAGTACAGAGACTCTAATATTCAAGTATGCTCTGATATAGATCATTCACGCTAAAGCACATGGCTGCAAATACTCTGAATAAAGTAACTCTTATCTGAAGAACAAGGAACATCATCAGAGGATCTGATGCAAGACTGTTCCAGATTTGTTGAAGAAGATGTTGTTCAAATAAAAATCCGTTGGCATATTCCTTGTCCTTATCCAAACGGCTCTTTTCTCATTCGTGCATGACACAAGAATTCAGACAAAAAGGATTTGTCTAAACATTCCTCTTCTGGGAAAGAAAAGTCAAAGAAGACAGAATTCCAGCTGCACTCCCTTTAAGAAATGAAAGTGAAATTCTATTTAAACAAGACTTCTACATCATTTCTATGTTGACGAATAATTGAACAATCAAAGAACAATATCCAAACATCTCTCAACTTCATTCTGGATTTAATTCGTTCTTCATTTGTGTAAAATCACAGTTGTGATATAGCTCTTTAAGAAGCAACTCTTAAACATGATCGCGACTTTCTAT